TTTTTTATTCGAGCCAGTTAGATGTTTAACTATATTATATTGTGTTCAATCAACGTTTTCCTATTGAATTTTAAAGGTACATATTTTTAGATGTTGGTTTGTAGCTTCCACAGTACCTACTGGTAATTTGGCCCACTCATATTAGTTGCACGGGGCCCTTTAACATGCATGAGTGATATTTACTTTTTAGGGTTCAGTACCTCAAAAGTTAAAAAAGGAACCCTTATAAGATCACTTTCTTGTGCGTCTGTCCGTGTGTCCGTGTGTCACCACCGATTTTTTCAGGAACGTTTAGACCTAGCAAGTTGAAATTTATACCAGACACTAAGGTATATGGTCCCTATTAGGTGATACACGATAAAAAGATATAAGCAAATTTCGATTTTCGCGAAAGGTGTAAGTACCAAAATTTACCTTAATTTTCAACTGTTTTAATTTTCAGAATTTACTTGTGCATAATTCTATTCTATTCTTGTGTATAATTCTAGGTCAACCGGTAATACCCTATAGGTTTTGGGTCGAAAACCTATATGGTAGTTCCCGTTGACCTAGAATCACGAAATTTGGAAAAAAGAAACGTCTACAGCACAATTCCAAAAAAAAATGTTGAAAATTAAGATAAATTTAGCTACTTACAAATTTTCGCGAAAATCTACATAAAATCTGGGTAGGTACAGAACCCTCGGCGCACGAGTTCGACTCGTAACTGACCGGTTTTTTTTTTACTTACAGATTCATCTTTTACTGAAAGTTTACTGTCTCTTCTCAGAAAAGTAAAAGTTGGGATCCTGACCAAATGAAAAAGGCTATTGAAGCAGTGAGAACCAAGACCATGGGCTATAACAAGGCGGTAAAATCATTTTCCGTACCTAGGTCTACATTAAAACGATTAGTAAAAGACTCTCAAGAATCTTTAGATATACTTGTGCATAAGCCGTATAACCCATGGGTGCCATATAACCATCACTTGATCTCAAATTGTCAAATTGCCAATTTTTTTTAATAAATATATTTTAGAATTATCTGTTGCAATTTTACTTATTCTATATTACGTCGTGTATTGGCAAATAAATAAGAAAACTACTGATGTATTCATTACATATGTTTTCCTTTTATTTTATACATGAGACCTCAAAAACATTACCACCTTCTCCTATACGTTTTTACGTAGAATTGCTACTGATTTTTTGGCCCGCTACATATAAGTTAGGGTAAACTCATTATAAACTTTTGGCAAAAACAAACGTTTGGTTAACATTGAATTAATAAAAGTTGTTTTGAAACCAAAATTTGGAGGAGAAAAATTAATGTAAGTAAAGTCTTACATAGCATTTAATTATTTTTACATTAATTTTACGAAATAAATGACGCAAGAAATATATTACAAACCTTTAATTTGAAAATATAATTTTTAATGTCAAAAGTAAAGTAAACTTTTGCTAATCAACTAATTAGGGTTAAAAAACTCATTAGTAACTTCGACTGCAAATAAGTTTTTAATTAATAATCTTTTTTATATGTTATGGTAAGACCGTTAATGACAAATATTTTTATGATTGTGTGTTTAGGTATACCTAAACGTACGACCTTTAAGTGATCAATATTTGCTACCATGTAATAGCTAAATCGCGCTATTATTATTGTCAACAAGCTTATTATATATTTGTGTTTGATTTCGAAAGGTATCGGAGAGGAACCACCTTATGGTGAAATATAGTATTACGTTCGAAGTTGTGGTGCAGGCGCATTATTTACGAATCCCCCGTTTCAAATATATTTTTCCCGAAGGCGAGCATGTGAATTTAAAGAAATTGAACTAAAGTAGTATGAAGGACAGACAATAGACTACCATAGTATATTTTTTCGTTTTGAATAGGTTTTGGGAGCAAAACAAAGCAAAGCAAAAAACAAAGAGTAGTGCTGTTCTCTAGAACAGAATTACTCTGTGTTTATTGGAACAGTAAATCCTATTCCTATATAGTGTTCATCTTCTGACACGTCAGACAGCTACAAATTGAATGAATTAGAATATGGTGAGGCTTCGCAAGACAAAGCATATGAACGACTATTTTCCTTGAAGAAGATCTTGACGCATCCTACAGGATTAATAAACTCAACATATTAGTGCAGAACCGAGCATTTTTAAAGTGTTTTTTTTACATTTTTCAACATGTTTCTTGAAAAAACTGAAGCTTAGAAAGTTCTTTGAAGAAACTGCTAGTTGTCTCTTCGATCGATTATTGTCTGTAGCTATAAAACAGCTATGTAGTTAAAGTTTTCTCATACGGTGCTTAATACAGCCAAGGCTAAAAGCCTTAAAGCTTTGAACTTTGAAAGAACTTTGCAAATTTTATATTATTCATGCTATATTTGAATAAGTATTTGTACTTATATGTATTTTAGGCGTTATGAAAATATTCAACTCAAGCAGAGTATAAAAATTACTTTAGATATCGTAGGAGCTTCATGAAAAGTCATATGTTGAGTAGTTATCGTAGTCCCTACTTAGTCCACGTGAACCTAGTCTTAGTCTTATGAGACCATAATTGGAACAATAACTAGAAAAAAAAACAAAATTGATGTCCACGAAGCCAACATTTTATTTATTTTGATATTATAATACATTTTGAAAAAACGACAGTGGTTAGTCAGTACATCAAAAAATGTCCTCAATATTTTCTCTATTTAGAAGTTCTAAAATAATAATACCTATATCCACATCGCTGTGGAGACTGAAGACTTTTATATTAAAGTAAATATAACGTCAATAAATAAATAGTTGTAAAAGCACAATAATTACGTATTATTTTAATTTCGATGGCCGGTAATTTCACTCAGAATCAAGATTAAAACAAATCGACTGGCCATATCCGAGTTGTTTTATTTTTTTTACCTAATTCTCTTGTGTAACATTCATGTCTATGAGTAGTACGTAAGGGCAGTTCTAATGAGAACTAATGCTTTTGTATAGACACAGAATTCACAGGTCAGTATAATAAATAAATGTAGGCATTTATTGTTTAGGTAAACAGAGAGTAGATACTAAAAGTTGAATACAATATCGCTATTTATGAGCTCAAAAGTTGGTAAAGTTATATGTAATTTCTTTTTATAAAAAATGGAACTTTATACCCATTGTCGTAAATAATGCCAGCATTTTGTTTAATATGCAGTATAATTTATATGAATAGAAGTAACTTGAAGGTACAATCCAATAATTCAAAACAATATTGACAGAGCTGTTAATAATACTTAGAGAGAAAGAAAACTGAAGGAATTAAAATGTCAGAATCCGTTTGGAATTTAGCATGCTTTAGAAATAGATTCCATAATAGTATCTTTATAAAGGCCTGCATCACAGTGGCCCATGTTACAAATGACTAGAAACTACTAAGTCCGATCTAGAGGGTTCTAGAAATATGATTAATATTTATGTCTGCCTCTCAGTAGCAAGAAAATAATACTTAAAGAAAATAACTGACGGAATCTAAAGAAATAGAAACGACCTGTATTGGTATTTCTGATGTATGATGTGAACTGCTATTAATGAGTACTTTCCTTAATAGGTGGATAGACAACGGGTGTTAGTCCACTTGCAGAAACTATGATACTGAGTGAAATAAATTTATGTAACATACATGATTATAGTATCTCTGGAACATCTGCACACACTTTATGCCACAGTGACTCTCAATATATTATCGTATCAAAACTTAAATAAAATTCTTAAGTTGAATCTATAAAGTAACGGCACTGGTACATTTAACTGTAGCGTTTAGTTTTTTAAACTAAATAACTATTATTATTAATATGGCGATCATTATGGCATAAACGTATTGTCCAAACATTAGTTAAAGCTTTTCGATTTATGTATGTAACTATAAAATTTGTTAGTATCTTCTACATAAGCATTAATCACTATTTTAAATTATAGAATTTTAGTTAATGTTTGCTGACATCTATCATTTAATATAAAATATGAATGTTAAATAAATTATTCAAAAATGTTGTTTTACAAATTATTTCTAAAAAAATACCGTTGCACTGGCAAGTCTTACAACACTCCACTAAATTCAATCTATAGGAACCCATGCTTCAGTTCAAGATCTAAGATTATGATCTATAAAGTCACCGTATGCAGTGACGGTCGTGTAAGTAAAAACATTGCTCATACTTCCACGTACGTACTGTTAAGTTACTTTGCTTTAAAAATGAAAAATGATAATTTTTTAGACAGCTTCAAGAGTACTATAATAAAAATAAATGTAATGTCGATGTCAAGCGTTGAAAAGAAAACCCGATGGGCAAGGACAATAAATAAATAGTTAAAGCACTTACTTAGTTGTAAAGATGGGATCGGTCCCTATTAAGTCGGACCTAAATACTTTCGTCAATTCATAAATAGACACCTAGCTTATAAATAACAATAAATAAAAATCTTAAGGCACTTTTTTAGGTACCAAGATCACAATTTCATCATTCTAATGTGTGTAGACAAAGGATTAGAGTTATGGAATGTCTGTTTACAGCTGAATATATCGACATAACGAATACTGTACACTGTTTCAATCAAAACATTTTATCGCAGAAGTATTACTCTTCAGATTCGCTAAAGAAGTGAATTAATTTTATCAATAATATATTTTTACAGTAACTTAAAATAACATAAGCGCATACATTTAAGTATTTCTGCATTGTGCAGAATAACAATACCGACACAATTTACAAATATTCCAATGTTAACTATATAATATGCAAAATTTGCAAAAGGTACCTAAAACTACTTAATAAATAAATTCCATGAGGGTAAGTATAACTCGTTAACGACGAGCATGTTATATAATATTAAACATTTTAATGTTCGCGGGCTAAGTATTTACATGTCGTTGTCCTACTCACAATACTATTTACACGAACGATATTTACACATGTGTCCAAGCACGTCCTGCGCGCGGTTTATACCCTAACACCAACCACTCAACGTCAGCACAAACACACAACTAGCGGTACCTATAGGAGGACGGCAGCACAAAATCTCCGACCGAGTACAGCACGTGCGCGTACCAGTGGACGCCGTGCGGCATCTCACTCGACGAGCTCCATCGCGATATCCACCGCAGCGGCGCCATCGCCGCGTGCGCCAGGGAATGGCTTCGTACCAGCGCATAGCACGACGCTAAGGCATCATCCACTATTATTGTTCCTGCTCTGGTCAGCGGTGCGTATACACCATGCTTCGAAACCAGGCGAGTCTTTACTACTCTTGATGGCCTCATGACGTCAGCTGGTCCTCGCGTTAGGAGTACGTCGCCGACTTGAACATTGGCAGCGAACGACTCTCGCCAACCATCGGCCGCCGCCAATAGGAGAAGATGAGACGGCGTCGTTGTGATTGTTACGCTGTTTTCGGCAGTGACTTCGATGAACTGCCGCGTAACGTTCGGATTTCTATCGATAAATGTCAGTACCTGAAATAACAAACAAGCCTTATAATTTTAAAGTCACACAAAACTTTTTATACGACTTATTTAGTGTACAAAGATAAATCCCACTAGGTAGCTGCTGTTACTCAGCAACCTGTAAAAGCCCTTCTATAACTTATTTAAAAAACTCCTAAATTCATAACTGTAGCAGTGGCATGTGACATTAACCACCTAAACTGTACCTAACCTGTATCTTTTTCAAATGGTATCTAGGAGTGATATTTTTTATGGCAACATAATACGGGTGATACTCATATTCTTATGTTCAGAACAATAGAATGAACACTATTTGATATTTAAAAATCAGAGGTTGCTTATCTAATTTTTTAGATCGTCAGAATCTGCCTCGTCTCAAATATACCATGTCTGGCGATTTTTATTTACATACCTCGGAATATATCATTTTGCCGTCATCAGATGCGGCCAGCACTTTGTCTCCCTTTTGCAGCGTAGCAATGTCACGTGTACCATTTTCTGTATACACCAATGACCCTTGGGGAAAGCAGCCAGCTCCGGTTCCAACAGAGGATTCTGAAATTAACAGAAAAGTAACAAATGAATCACTGCAACATGAAATAACTTGAACAATAAATTGTTCACAGAATAAATTGAACACAGAGATATGCCATGTGCGTGTTTTGTCTACATACTCAAGACCTAAAGCAATAAAACAAAATTGAAAACATAAAATCGTGCAAGGGATAGTAAATTAGCTGCGAGCAGTCATATCCCTTTAAGGAATAACAAGATTTCTCTACGCTCGTAATTAAAATCGGATAAGATACGATACGAAACAAAAGAGAATTGCGAACGGTTGCCCACTGTGCACAGGTTATCGGTGTGCATACCACTGCATTGATCTCGGCTTTTACTATACCCAACATACAGTTCTCAGCTCGCTGAGACCTATATGACTGAGATACATTGTTCACCTGCCAAATCAACAACGAAGACAAAATTTCCAAGAAACGGAACAAATAATCTTCTGAGCAAACTTTTTAAGCGTTAGATAAGTTAATTGAATCCTTTTTAAATCTTTTCTTCCATTGTTTGTTTACAAAAAAAAATTGCAACCAGAAAGATCTTACAAAAGACTGATTTACTGAACTTTGTTTGTACATTATCTAATAGTATTTATTTAAATCCTCATCCTGTTCAGACTATACCTGTGCGTAATCTTTTAATTCGTTTGGGTCCTAATCGTGACAAAAAGGTGTCTATTTACGTGCAACTTAATGGTATTCAAAAGATAAATAAAAAGGAATACACTGCAAGAACGTGTACAGCCGCAACTGATAGTAGTTACGAACAACAATTGAGTTACAAGTAAAAGTTTAAATACTAGCAATCGTACTTCTGGTTCGAAGCTTGCTATCTGGGATTAAAGTTTACTTACAGTTACAGTGGGTAGTGCAATTACACGCGTTAATGAGCACGGTTAAAGATACATAGCAGAACCCTCAGTTTGTGCGAACTCGTTAAATTTTGATTTGTTGTGTAACCGACCGATAAATTTAGTCGATCCTCGTTTACAAACTGAGCTCAAAGCGGTGGATAGGCTGAGGCGGATCGCATTACACAATAACTAAACAAATTAGATTTTGCTCAAAGTCAAGCGCTTATTGTCAACATCCATTTGTTGTTCGGTGAACGCATCGACACGATTCACTGAATTGGTGTCGGACGCCTTTGCCTTTTTGTACAATTGAAGTTGAATAGTTGAGGTGCATCATTTTTCACTATTTACATTTACTTTGTGTATATTTTATACATATTTTTTTATAAGTTCATGGTCATAGTGTCTTTCAATGGTATATATTGATTTATCAGAGTGTGTAAAGCATTTATATTATAACACGATAAGTTTTGAATAACTGACCCCAGAAAGAGAAGTAGTAGACATCAACATCAACATTTTTAGTAACAAATACGTACTAATAGTGTTTAAACGATTTTATCGACCTCTCATTCCGACCTTATTAAGCTTGAGAGTTAACGAATCCAAAGCCTTAAAACCAGTCACAATGCGATTTCATAGTGACGTAAGTAACATTAGGCTGAAGATGCGGCGATAAGAGGCGCGGGTGTGCGGGGGGGTGTCCGGGCGCGCGAGGCGCGGCGCGGCGGCGCAGCGAGTGGCCGCGCAGACCCCGCCCCGCGGGGACCACCGGGAGAGCTAGGCGGCGCGCGCGCCGGTCCCGCCGCAGCGGCCGCGGCCCAACGCGCTTCACCATACATTACCAACTCGACAAATGTACGCACGTGACACTATTAATAATTTATCTCTTCGATGGATGTCATATTGTACCCACAAATGTCACGCTTTTTATGACTTTTTTACTTGAAACTGGAACGATTATATAAGATTCTCATTTCTGTGTTTACCTAAATATTTTGTCTACAAGTAATTTATATTAAACTGTAACCATTACCAAAAATCTTTGATGTAAATTTTATTTTTTTCATAAACAAGACATGTAGTGATCGACATTCTCGTGTATGTGATTTATACTGAATAGAATAGCAATTAGCCGAAGCGTAATCATGCAAATGCCAAACCGAGCTGGTTATGTTATGATTCATTCGCCTGCGCTGAACGCTTGCCGTAGTGTAAAAGAAAATAAATAAATATGGATAGGTTTATTTTATCTACCAAAATAGGAACATCGTACTCCTGAGAACCATTTGAAATTAATGTAAAGATATTCTCTCAAGCTTAGCAAAACTTCTGTATATATCAAAACATTTTTTGTAGAGCTGCAACCTCATACTATTTGGTTTCGTCGAGACAAATCGTTTTTAAGATTACTGTAAATATTTATAATTTCAAATAAGCGTTCTAATAGTGGGTCCAGTTATTAGAAGGTACTTGGGTACTTTAAATTGAATTACTGTTAAAATATACGTCAATGTATTAAGTTTAAACATACATTAAATCAAAATATACACATTTGTATAGCTCACAAATGTCAAATGTATTCACCTCATAATTCACTTAGCACAAGATCGGCACAAAATGATTTAAAAGGTAAGTAATCCACACTGATGCAATGTGTGTACTCTGGAATTGTATGCGTTACTGAGATCTTAACGATTGAATTTATTGCGCACCTGAACAGAATGGACGATGCAGCAAGCTTAAGATATGTAGGTATGAAAGAAAAGTGAATGGAACAGCAATCTTATGAATGTAAATATGTTTAAAATTACTAACATGATTCTGACATGGAATTTAATTTCAACAACAAAGTACAACAACTGATTAATACAAGCCATTTTAATAACCCCGTAGTATTCTTTTATTCATGTTTATGATAGTTTGTTTGTTACGATTTTGTTCGTATTTTTGTAATCAATAAACGTTATTATTATTATTACTTTGGGATAGAAGTGTGTACTTTTTAACATTTTAACTTAATATTATATTAATAAAAAAATATGCTGGATATAGGTTTAGAAGTTTTTGTAAAGGTTTATGATATTTTTGTTACATTGTCAAAATACTATTTTGGTGATACGATAAATAAAGAAGTATACTCACTCATCTGATGTGTTGGTTTTCCAGCCGTTTTAATAAAAAAAATCGGTTGGGGAAACAAACAGAGGATTCGGATTAAATTTGGGAAACAGGTCTTACGAGTACACTAACACAGGTGTTCGCAAATTAAATAAGTTACCCACAGACTAAACGTACCACATACACACATATTACACAAACCTTCTTGGCTTAAACAATTAGCATTATCATTTAACCGCGTCATCCTAAGTTGCTAAAAAATTTAAATCTACGGTACTTTATCAATTTTGAATAGAGTTTAAAATAAATAGAGAGATTGAGTTAGTCTAAAGATGACATGTTTTTGTTAGAGGTCAACAACATCCTTTTTAGAACATAATGTATAATCACAATAACGATAAGCAACAAAGAAGCTAGAATTTGAATTTAGATAATTTGTACTTTTTTTATTCGGGTATATTACGATAAGAGATAAAATCGGTTCAAGTAACTGTGGGAACTTCTTGGGGCGCAGCCGCAGCCTTCCGGGATGTAGCGTCTCGGGTGTCGCGCCCTCCGGAGGCTTTCGCACGCATGCCCCGCGCCCGCTCGACCGCGCAACATCGCTCACTCACGCTTCTATCCTCCCTACGAATATTCCCATAAAAACCACTCTGATCACTTTTATGTGCGGTCACTGATTCAAATGTGATCAGACCTCAAATAGGTCGTTTTTTTGTTCTTCAACAAACGAAAACGAAAAATGTACATTATCAAGATTTTTATCAAAAAGATTTTGATTGTGCTTGTTGTAATGAAATGTTGCATTTTATTGGTCTACATGTAATATTTTTAAAAAGGTTTTCTTTGAATAATAAAGAAAATTCAAGGATAGTTAAACTTAAGGAATTCCTGAAGAAAATAAATAAAACAAATTTTCATTTGCTACTATGTCCTTAATGACATAGTAGCAAATGACCATTGATTATATATACGAATATATATATATAAATTTACAGCTCATTACTTTCTCTTAAGGTTTTGTATTAAAAAAAATATTACTTATTTCAATGAGACTGAAATAATTTTTATATATTGATAAAAATAACTATTTATACCTATTTATATATATATACATATATATATATATATATATATATATACATATATACTAACCATAAAATATTGATTATCTTTATTAGATATGCACATTCATAGTCCTAAGTCTTAATCATAAGGCTATAGGTAAATAATTTACAACCTTATGAGTTAATAGTCTTGGTTAAATGAATAAGAGTACTTTTGATTGAAAATAATCTCATTACTTTTATAAACATGTAAGGTTTTAAGGGTGGATGTATGGTTGTTTGTCACTCAATCATGCCACAACGTCTGAACCGATCTGACTGAACTTTGACACATGGATACAATCTCTGAAATAACACATGGGCTACTTTTTATTAAGGAAAACTTTATATACAAAATTTATTATCAGCAATTTATTATTCTTATCACCCCATCAATTATTGACTCTGCATATCCTCTCTTCATTCATGACACATTTTATTTCCAGGAACAATAAACTAAGTGTGTTATTTCAACACCAAATTTGACCGTTCATTTACATAAGTGTTATTGGTAGGAGGATTCACACAACACTACACATCCGTGACAATATATTACCTACTCCTTCCCTATGTATACGACTAAAAGGGTAAATACATTTGTGTCTACGTGACGTAGAGTGATATAGTGAATCGTGACTAGGGAATTCGATGTGATCATCTTTGCAACACTGGGATCTCGGTGTAACCCAGGATTGTAAACACAAGATGGGCCATATAGGGTCCGCACACACAAGATGATTCTTTCTATTGTCAAATCTTCCAATAATATAATTTATCATTCATACTTTGCTGTTTAGTTTTTGTTGTGTTTTAAACAATGTTTATAACACGATCGTTGAAAATTAACCTTAAAATTGTAAGACAAGAATACGATCGGCTCCCAGACCCCAAAAACCTTTAAATCGTGACCCAGCCCGTCGCGGTCACAGCCGGTCACCACTGGTCACGGCTCATTTACTAAACGCGTTGCTGTCAAAGTTATTTAACTGTCAACTGCACATCGCATTGTTCTCCTTCGTAGAACACATTTTGTGCCATTAAACACTTGTCTTAACGGAAATCTACATTGGTTTTATGTACCCGAAAAAATTTAAGTGGTTTATATTGAACAAAGTATTTTATTGAGGGGAAAACGAATACTACAAGTGAATGAGCTCAAAAACATGTGACAGGTATTTCAAATATTCAATATGTTTTTCTGACTCATAAAACATAACATGATAGGATTAGCAATATTAAAACAGTGTTCATTTTGAATTTAGAACAGGCAATAGAAATAAAATGGAGAAATAGGTAAGTCATAGAAACCAGCAACTAGTTGTAGTGTGAACTTTTTGGTTTTTTACATCGAGGTATCTTAACCTCTTAGTACGTATATAAGGTAATATAATAATTTATAAAAGGCATGTCTAGAAAAGCTATTATTTTTATATTAAAATTAGTGTATATTACGATTCAATAAATCACACGAGCTTACTTAACATTTGTGGCACTAGATAAAAACGTCAGTGAAAATATTTTAATTTATTGGTGCGCTAGCTTCAAAGAATTCTTGATAGTCGCAAAAAGCTATTTGAACCAACTCAACGGGTTTGAAATATCGCTATACTAATGTCTTACTTGGATATCATTTCAACGAAGTAAATATTGTATGCTACAATCCTAGTATAAAACATTTGTATTTAACCGTACATACTTGTCTTTATCATAAGCTGTTTATTCATTTAGGTGTAATGATCAGTTTATTGAAAATTGAAAGACATTAATGGCTATTTGACAAGGTGTTAGGAGGTTAAGCAAATGTGTTAATTTATAATTGTCTACTTTGACTACGTACATTTTAATTACATTTTTACAGTTCATTACTTTCTCTTAAGGTTTTGTAGTGAAAAATCATTACTTATTGCAATGAGACTGAAATAATTTTTATATATTGACTAAATGAACTATTTGTACCTATTTGAAACACATTGCGGTATACATAGCCGGAGTGTCTCAGAACGGAGTATGCAAACCCAGGAAGAAAGTAGAATATCGTCTACTAGATTTCAAAAAGGTTTCTCAATCTACGAATGAATGAATAAATTCATTTGACCTTTAGTTCTTTTTTTCATTCTTTTGCCTGCATTGACTATTTTAGGGGTTTAATAATTACAAAACATTGACTAACAAAACTATTAAATTTAAAGGGTCTAAGTTAACGGAAACCTTCGCTTATATTATATAAGCGAAGGTTTCCGTTAACTTAAAAAAGTATTAATACAAAAGATGTACTTATAAAAGACCTATATAATGAGACCTTATGAGACCTAAAGACTTATAATGAGACCTTTTTGAACGTAATATTTGAGATAAACTTATATATGCAACTAATTTTTTCAACTTGTCTAAATACTTGTCAATAAATCACGAATCTATGTTACTTTCATAGATTAACTTCCATAACATAAAGTATTGTTGAAGACGACTGGTTTTTACACAAGTATTATCTAACCTATATAATTTGTATAAGTGCATACCTAATCTTATGATGACGTTAGTCTAAATACCATGAGTCAATGATCTTACTAAAAAACAATCATCGCCGACCAATGGTAACCAATTAATCGGGTTCAATACAAAAAATTAACGCTCGGCCATAGTTTTATTGGCGCCGAGGCGATCACTGGATGCTTTAATTTAATAGGAGCATATAATGGGCCTGTTTTACTCTGTCTCTTTTATATCCCGTGTGATAGAGGGAAAAAGGTAAGTACTGATTTAAAATATTTTCGATTAAATTCCAATACGTTTACAATAATAAAACTTAAGTTTTTGATGAACTGTGACTATAAAAAGAATATTTAGTAAATAACTGGTCTGATAAATAATAAAATTAAGCAGGAAACACACAGATAAAATAGCAGGCATATAAAATGTAAAATTAGTTTTGATAACGAGGTTCATATTCTACATGAATTGATTACAAAAATTTCACGTTGAAGGGAGGAGCACAACCAGAGGATGGTCGTGCGCGATCCGGCCTTGACCGCGACCAACAAAGAGCCACGACCGCAACACACATACCTACAGAAAGCACATTAATTATTTATAAGATCCAAATTAATACTAAAAGGCTCGGATCGTACAAAACGCCGGAATAAATGAATAAACATCGAAACAAATTGCCTTCGACCCCGAGGGAGGCTATGCCGCGCTATCAGCGCTTTAGTTGCAGATTCTTTGAACACAATGAATGCTCTTTATCGATTCATACTGATTTGAGGCATTTTATTATATATTTATGGTATTTAACCATACCACAAAAGATAAAAAAATTACATTCTGTTTGATAAGACTTTATCTATTCATTAATGGAATAAAGCGAATGCAAAAGCGTGGTTTAAACACACTCATGGTTTAAATAATGTTATGGTTAGATTTTGAGTAGTCGTTGGTTAAGATAGATATCGATTGATTTTAAGAGAGAGTTAGTATTGTTTGTTATTCAAGAAAGGTAAACTTTTATAAAATATTGTTGCAAGTAGGTACTAAATACAATTCAGTTTAAATGCATTTGAATCATTATGAGTCAATAGCAAAAGATAATTAATATTCCAAGATCTATTTTAGCCACAGTGAAAAAGAAAACACTGTCCGATACAAACCTTCAAAAATAAAATATAGTTATTAGTGTATATTCGTGTTTATGTTATAACACATAATTTAGTTCAAAAAAATTAAAGCCAAGAATGCTTTACATATATTATGTATGTATTTTACAAACTGCAGTAGGTATTATTTACTTTAATAGCATACATAATATCTAGCAACACGGTTGTTTCAGTTAACGTGTTGTGAATACTAATATCAAGTCCCTAACATTGTTAACCAGGGAGCCTAGGTTTTACAGCTATCCTCCTACATTTTAATATCAAACCACTTATAGAACGATCTGCAAAATTAATTGTTACTATGCGTGAGCGCCGGAATGCCTTCATAATATCTAAAAACACAAGCATACATATAAATACGCGCTTCTCTCTTTGGTATACCGTATACACATATATAAATATAAGTAGCCATTGAATCACCGGTGTAATTATAGAAGTGGGGGATTGGCTGCGATGCGGCCGCGTGCGCAACAAACAGATATAGTGGTGGTTGCGAGTGCGAGCGAGAGGGATGCTAACAAGAGGCTCGTTCGTCCGTTTGATCGACACCGCCGGGGCGCGGGCGCGGGAAGCTGTCTGAGATGCATTCTTCTTGTAAAGTTCAACTATATATTTGGTCCGTCCCGTAGCCTGCACTCCGCAGTACAGTTATGTACACGTAAATAAGAAACATATGGGTTTTCTCGGACGGTTTTCCTTATGCCTTAGTAGTTATTTACCAGAATATTGAAACTACACACAGCTACTGATAACTTTTCACAGTTTGAAAACCCATATATGAATATATATATATTTGCACAAAGTCTTAGGACAACAAATTATTTGTTTTTTTTTCTGGTATTTTTTGTGAGCTTGTGTTTAGATAAATATAAAATTTCCCATGATATAGTTATTTTTCTTACACCAAGCAGAATGAGCTGGAAATAATAGAATTATACCTAAAATTCTATCAAATCCGTAACTGTTAACAGAGTTAATTATTTTAATACAAAGTTTATTTGAACAAAAATAAAAACAACACGTCCATACAAAAGACTTCAACGCAATGCTTAAAAGTTAAAAAAGTTTATTCCAATGAAATATTTATTATTTAATAAGGTACATATTTCATTTGAAAAATGATAAAATAATCTCATCCTTTAATAATATTAGGTTTTCACACATAGTGTCAGAACGAACTTTTATAGCTTAAAGACTTTTCTGTCGGTTTAAATACGTCTTGTTGTCTGTACGTTTAGTTCGTGCCTTTTCTTACTGTTTTGTTTGAGTAGAAGGTTTATACTATCCGTTTATGTAATATATCGAAATTTAATCCTCCGACATGCGTATAATTACAAAATACACACGCCATCTAAAAAATATTAAAGAAATAAGTTTTGTAAAATTCTAGTTATTCCGAGGACGAGTTTTACTTTATGGTTTTCTTTATCATGACAAATATAGTTGTAAAAAAAAAGTAGTAATCGATGTGGTCAGTAATATTTGATAAACCGGTGAGCAAGCATGGCGACGAAGTTTCTAAACGACTTAAGAAACTCAAAAAAATAATCTTTAGCTAGGTGTTTTAGACTAAAAAGAATATGAATATCAGTATAATATTAGCAAGCAGTGTAGCAATGAAAAAATGCTTTTTATTACAGATGTTCTTTGTAGTAACCTATCTAAGCCTAATATTTACATGGTCAGTAGATTGATATCGGTAGTTCGTTTGGACGTGAGTTTGAAGCTTTTATCCTAAATATTTAGCTACCGCCCTTGAAACTTTGCTATTTCCTATGACTCATGTAGAAGATAACAGAGTACCTCTTAATAGTAAATAATGTATAATATAAGTTGTCTATTACATAATTAGTATCCGTACCTGTTTTAACAGAACAATGTATGTAGGAGCGGCTCTCATAGAAGACCCAATCGAATCCCGCTTCCACAGCGAGTCTAGCGAGCATGCCGTACTTGCTGCGGTCACGGTCACTTGTAGTGAGGTCCACAGCGCGGCCCTCGTAATGCAGGGAATTTTCCAAGTGCGAGTTCTCCTCGTCCCATCCCTCGATAACTCGTAACCGCACGCCTGGCCACTGGTTCATCACGCTGATCGCTAATGTGTTCAGCTTCTCCTTGCATCTCTGAAATAGCACCACTTCAAATCTTAATTTTTACACTTAAAGCTTTCTAATATTACATCGAGACTATAAACTCAGCTGATTGTTGTGCTACGTTAATCCCAAGTTTGTAACAGACACGCAGACATAAACGATGATTCAGAAACGTAAGCCAGACTACGCATTTATAGTTTAAGCTGCTAACGGCCGCGAGTAAACATCATGATATCTAATATTTGCATCGCAATTCGCGGTGAACGCCTAAAAGGTCTGTAAGTGGATTGCGTACTCTCCGTTACCTTAAGAAACAATATCGATGCTCTAAAGACATGCGAAACTTTTTGTTTGCACCTACTAAAGAAAATACCAATAGAGGTGCTAACAAATCGACAAACGTCGCCGCCCTGCACCGGACAACACATTGCAGGATGTTGGACATTTGTCGTGAAAGAATAAATCAAATTACACACGGTACACAAAAGGATCAACACGAATTTGTTTTTCGAATAGCTGCGCGGGACGAATCAAGGAAATGTCAAAATATTTATAAAGAAATGCGGACAATACGAGACGCACCGCGTGTCGGCTTTGTTGCGCGATGTCAACTCACTCTATGCAGATTTTGTTGTGAAAACATTTGGAGATTGACGTAACGAATCGAGGCTAGAAACAGGGTCGGGCGCCCCGCTTGGCTGGTGTATTCGATCACATTCACGCAGCAGATAGTTTGGAGCACCGTATATAATTATTTCTACGAACGTTTCGACCGCCTAATAAAGAGTTACGAGAACTGCGACACGTTTAACGTCGGTAGTGTTTTTATTTTTTAAGATTTCAGTGCATCCAAATTCCACATATTTAAGAGATTTCTTTCTAAAGACTGCAATTACTTCATAAGATAATTGTAAGTGAAAATAAGGTTATTTTTTGAGAAGTATGCGAGTAATCTGAAAGACGAACATGGTGTGTGAAGTGTTCGCGGGGTAGGGAGGGAATGGGTGTACGGTCAGGAAGCTCAATGTTTGCTTCTCTGCAGACGTCTCGGTCCGCACTAAAACAATCGAATGCTAAATGCTAACACAAACACTGGCTGCATTAAACCGTGGGAACACATCGGTGGCGCAATTAAGCATGATTTCACCCAATGTATCCACATACATTCTTTCGTTGATAATCGTGAATACGTCATTTATAAGAGCATTTTATACACTTAATTGAAATTTACTATCAGTTACTTCTATTCATTTTAATCACATCATAAGGAACCTAAACTGCGTGTTGTATTTACATTTTAGATTAATCTTGTTTCAATTGTCGCCACATATTTGAATAGGCAGATAAAACAAGACTTGCACGGACACGGAGGGGGCGAAGCGTCGTTGCAGGCCCGATAGGCCATTATAAATTCATTATGCATATTTTTAGTAAACAAGCTGTCGATCACAATGCTCACGCGCAACGGGGAGCCCTGCCTCCGACACCTCCCGTCTCGCTCCTCACGATATGTACCTACGTACCCTAATATCACGATTATCATCGACTCGGTATGCAACATGTATAGGTATGTACGTATCTGTGCTTGCATCCAATAAGAATGAAACATTAAACCAGTTTTTATAACCAAGTCGATTTACGTAAATTTATTTTTGCAAATTATCAAATTACACTACATCAAAAGCTCATATTCAATTATATTGATTAACAAAAAAATGTAACAAGCGTATCGAATACCTAAGGTCAAGTTTGAAGCGAAACTCCGCGCTACCTGAACCGGTGGCGATCGAAGCACTTGCGGACGCATAATGAAGGCCGCTCGATGGAACTGCGGTAAAAATGGAATAAAAACTCCAAGGATCATCGCACTGAACCAACGTCTGCAGTAACGTGAGAATGCCATGTGCTGTCTGAACCGCTCTCTGCATTCGCGCGCACAAGAGTTATCAGATGCTACTAAGCACCTAACCAGTGACTACTATATAAACCAACTGATTCATAATGTACATCAATTAGACATATCTTAATGGCATTCCTATCTTCCGAAAAAAAAACATGCAAGAAGTCGACGTGCATGGACACCATTCGCCACCTCGGGCTAACTCCGACTCACAGTTAATTTATAACCACCTCCCTCCGCGACTATAACAATATATTAGGATAATTAAATGGCTCTTTACATTCCTTAACACATAGTTTTTTTACAAGGCCACTGAGTCGAAAAGCACCGACCAATGCTGACTGGTTTTTGATGTCCCGTTTTTTGTCTTTTTGTGGAAACCACAACAAATAGTTTAAGGGCATTTTTTTTATGCCGACCGTTTATTTTGTTCACGCGAACCCACAAGATATCTACGCGATGCTCTCATCTCGGCTAAGGGAGTCGCTAGATGAGTTACCTGTGCCGGTTTACGAACCGCATGCATACTTACTTGAGCATGTGAACTACAATCTCTTAACATATTTAACACATATCTTAGCAAATCCTTTTTTAAAGTGCAGACGATAATTCAATAATTTTATAACCCATATTAAACAAAATGTGAACAATGTAAACATTTCAAACGTGTAAACATTCAAATTTAGTGACGGCCAAAGTACATTCATTGTTGCAGATCTGTTTAGAGCGTCCGACGACTTAAACGGCACACAAAACCATTTAAACTAAAATAAGACCACTTAATGCTTGATTTTTATAGCCTGCCTTATTTTCCATCATACTTAGGTACCTGCAAAAATTATGCGTTCCAAAAACGTATGGTTGAGTCAAAGCTTAATAACATTTTCGACGGCACAAAGTACAAATTAGGCGGCATAATATCCCGTGTATCAGACTAACACCTTGTCTTTATGGCAATGAAATATTTTTTTCGGATTGGTTGATGGAAATATTGGGTGGGACCATGAATGATTCTCACAGATTGTTTTGTTCAGTCACAAATAGTTATAGAAACCGCAACGTGTGAATCACTGGCCCTGGCGGCCATTTTACTTTTTACTTTTTTATAAACTGTATTAGATTGACTGCGTAATTATACAGCCATGCTGTCCGTTATTACAGACTATACATAGTTTAATTTACGAATTTAGTTTAGTTTAGTGACCGTGTGGTGACGGATTAAGAATACACATTATCACCACCCCCAATCATCCCGTGGGTGTCGTAAGAGCCGACTAAGGGAGCAAACTACGCAGAACAACAACACTGCAAAGAGAAGGAAAACTTGATACAAACCCTATACCAACCCGTCTGGCCATCGTGGCATAGTAGGCTAAAACCTCCTTTCTTAGAAAAGGCCAGCAGTGGACTGTTAAAGGCTGCTGATGAAGTTTAGTTTAATTTACGAATTTTATTTATTTAACAATGTACAAATTGTAATGTGTAAATTATTTTTATATCATACAAGTACTCGATACAACTGCGCAAAGCTGAACCAAGGCTATTTTAGTATTCCTGTATCACAACCTATGAAATGCATACTATTTTGACAAACAATCAAATCTTCGGATTTGTTGACCTCTAAAACACCTTTAAAATTTTCAATCAAAACATTACATGAAATAACTTGAAAGTAAAATTAAAATGTAATATACGTAGATCGTACAGATAGACATCTCTAGTAAAGATCTATCTCATAGCTATTCATTACATGTATGTAAGTAAATAGAACAAACATTTGCTAACCATAATTCCTTAGCTGTCGAACACACCATAAATATGTATAGTGTGGGTGCATCACCTGCGTCTGTGATGTTCAAAGCCCGGTAATGTTTGTCCACGAAAAATATCACCCTTTGTTGTCTTAATGCGGCTGTCGACAGTGCAATGTCGGGCCATGCCGCGCTAACACATACTCTGTCAGGCTCTTTCTAACATACTTTGAAGTATTACCACTGGTAATTGCCTCAACTCGTTAGCAAATTTTATAAGTGAGCAAGAAATCATTGAGTATTTCTTGAACGTTTAAATTTTCCTCTAGGCTAAATACTTTATTACTTTGGCTGGACAGCATAATGCAATTGAATACAGTAAATCTACTAAAGCAAATTATATATAGACAGACTGTATCATTCTTCTTGTAATTTAAAGAAGAATAATATTGCATAGTCATACACATATAATATAACAATAACCATAATGGTACATGAATATTAGTCAACTTAGAACGGAATAAAAAAGATCCCAAAATTAATGTGGTGATTTTGAATATGATTGCTTATCTATTATCTGCTATGTTCGTTTGCTGAGAGCTTTTTTCCCATTGAGCGCTATATTTTGTATGTAAAAGCGCGCTAACGAGTACAGTCCACAAGGCTTTTAAGGAGACGCGGGCGCCTTTCACTATGTCCAAAAAAATTGAAACAAGACACCGATATGGTGTTTGTTCAGGCCACGAACCTCTATTGATGCAACTTTACACTTCATTCACTGAACTGGAGTACGTCTCTCATTAGTCATTAGACGTCTCTCTTTTGTTCCTTAGTTTAACTATTAAGTTTATTAAGTTTTGATGTTACTTATCTTTACTTTGAATTGGCTTGTTGGTACTAAATATCAAAATTATCGTCATCATTTTACTCATGGACCTTGTACTGCTGAACATAGGGGATCCTCCTCTAAATTTCAACATAGGACGTTTTTGCAGCGTCTTCATCTAACAGGTCATTAAGGTGGAAATTGCTAAGACTGTGCCCAAGGTTCATGATAGAATTCGTCATTATATGAACGTATGACAACACAAGGATATCATATTTTCGGCAATTTTCATACATTAAAACCAGTTATTTAGGTATATACAATCAAAGAAAACTTGCAAGTAACTTGCCTAACTATTTAACATTACAATTCCCTGTTCCAGATTCTAACACAGCAAAGACAACATAAAATGAAAATGTACAAAATAAACAGACAACAAGACCCATTTACCGGCTAAGAAGCGTGTGGCTGTATTGTGATTAAAATAATGCAACGATCAATTTAAACACACATTCTGTAAATGTCAAAGCAAGCATTTGGCAAGAAGTGTTTA